AAAGAGAGAACTAAAGTGGGCCCTACTAAGATCACACTTAACCCCTCGTGGTCCATAAGGCTGTGTGCAAATGCAAGGTCATACCTGTTCAGCAGAGAACAAAGAACCTTTGCAAATTACTAATTCTTGGCTGAACACAGGGTAGACGAAAAAGCTCCCTGCTCTTTGACAGTATTTCCTCAAGCTGCACACAGATCCAATGGCAAAGGAGGGAAGCCTATCTTTTCCAGGTATCTAAGCAAAACTTCTGAGTAGTCATTGGCTGACCACTAAGTTATGCTGACCCAGGGGCAATCCCCAGAAAGCAAGGCTAAAACAAAACAACAACCACAAAGAAAAACTAAGCAGTAACATCAGAGGCTGCACATAGCTAAGGAGATAGGTTTTATAGAATTAGTCCAGGCAAGTCACAAAACAAACAAAAAACAGCAACAGCAAGCTTGAGGCAGAAGTTAGAATTCAGAGTTGCTACAGTATATTATCTAAATGTCCACTTTTCAACAAAAAATTATGAGATGCACAAATATACATGAACATGTGACTTATACTCAGGGAAAAAGGCAATAGAAACTGTCTTTGAGGGAGCCCAAATGTTGGTTCTTAGTGACAAAGACTAAAAAGCAATTATTTATCAGTACGTTCAAAGAACTAAAGGAAAATTCTTCCCTGTAAAGAATAAAGGAAAATTATGACAATGTCTCATCAAATAGAGAATATCAGTAGAGAGATCTAAATTGTTTTTAAAAATCAAATAGAAATTTTAGAATTGAAAAGTACAATAACTGAAATGAAAAAAGACTTGACAGCACATTTGAGCTGGCAGAAGAAAAATTAGTAAACTTGAACGTAGATTAATAGAGATTATCCAGCATGAAGAACAGAAAGAAAAGAACAAAGAAAGATGAACAGTCTTAGAGACTTTTGGACACCAGCATGCATACCAACATAAGTTTAATGAAAGCCCCAGGAGAGGAGAGCTAGAAAGGAGCAGAAAATGTATTTTAAGAAATAATGACTGAAAACTTCTAAATTTGATGAAAAATATTAATCTTCATATCTAAGAAGTTCCGTGAACTCCAGGTAGGATAAACAGAAAGAAACCCACACCTAGATATATCATAGTCAAACTTAAAAAACAGAGAATCTCAGAAGCAAATGACAGAAATAAAAAGGAGCTCCCTTTGTTGTTTCTTTCTGTTATCTCTTCCCATGTTCTTCGTATATGGAACGTGAGGATTTTCATATGGAGAGATCAAAATGAAACCTTCCTAGAAAAAAACTAAGATTTAAAGTTAAAATTCTTAAGAAAGAATTTCTTCTACCTTGATTTCCACAGGATTAGTCCCCAGCTCTTTCAGAAAAATAGTAAATGGCAATTTTGAAGGCAGATTTTGTTAGAAGTGATACAAGTTGAATTTATATAAGGGAAAATTTCAGATTGAGTTGACTTCTAAAACTGAAGTATTTTATTAGAGAGAGAGGTGAAATTTTTTAGTTTAACCCACAGCATTTTCCATACTTAGAATTTTCCAAAACTTATCTCCCTCGTTCACAAATTGATTTTTATTACTCAAAGTAAATGCCAGCTGTTGTGATAGTAAACTAGCATAATAACAGGTCTTACGTAATATAATAAAAAGCAGGGGACCCCAGCCATTTAGTCAACAGTCAACACTTCTCTATAGCTTTCCTCATCGCAGAATCATCTGCAAGATAATAAAAGTAAAGAGGCAATGAAGTTTACAAGTTAGGACTAAGAGCTTCATAGTCATATAATTGTGAATCTTGGCCCCATTACGTACAACTGTTACGGACTGAATGTCGTGTTCCCCCAAAATTCATATGTTGGTGTCCCAGTCCCCAATGTGACTGAATTTGGAGATAGGGCCATTATGGGGGTAATTAAGGTGAAACGAAGTCGTAAGAGTGGAGCCCTGATGTGATAGATTAGTGTCCGCATAAGAAGAGATACATAAGAGAGCTTGCACATTTTCTTTCTGCCATGTGAGAACAAAATTCTCAAACAGATGCTGAGATACCCGGTAAGCTAATAGATAAATAGAATAGTCACAATTCCATTTTTAAAAATTGTGTAAATATTTCAGGTGAAATATTTTCATAGGTATTGTCTTTTTGCCTTTGTTCAGAGCACATATGACAAACATTGGCAAAGATGTGGAGCAATAATTGGTGTGTTGGTTGGTTATGTAAACTTGACACAACATTTGGAAAACTGGCAATGAATACTAAAACCACATATGTATATCTGTGATCCAGTACTACTTTAAGGCATTGGTATGCAATGGGAATGATTACATAAATGACAATGAATGGCTATGTTACTGGTTTATGTATTTATTACACTTTTTATTGTTATTTTAGAATGTATTCTTTCTACTTCTTAAAAAAAAATTTGCTATAAAACAGTATCCCGTGTTACGCAGACAGCAGCCTCATACATTTCATGTTCACGGTGTCTCTTGATCGCATTATTTTCTCTCTTTTTTTTTTTTTCCCTCCCTTCCCCCTTTTTTTATTATGGTGACATTGGTTAACGAAATCCAGTAAGTTTCAAGTGTACAATTCAACAGTAAGTCATATATATTTTGCATTGTATGTTCACCGCCCATAGTTAGATTTCTTTCTGTCTATATCACCACATATTTGACTCCTTTTACCCCATCTACCTCCTGCTTTCCCTCTGGTAACCACTGGTCTATTGTCCATGTCCATGAGTCTCTCTTTTTTTGTCATGTTTGTTTGTTGCTTTAGCTTTATATCCCACATATAAGTGATATCATGTGGTTTTCAACTTTTTCTGTCTGGCTTATTTTGCTTAGCATGATTATCTCAGGGTCCATCCATGTTGTCGCAAATGGCAGTATTTTATCTTTTCTTATAGCCGAGTAATGTTCCATTGTATATATATACCACATCTTCTTTATTTAGTCTATTGTAGGATACTTTCAGTTGCTGCATTTTTTTCTCTTGTGCTTGTTTTAATCTCATGTTTTGTTCATCTTGACCCTAAATGTACAAAATCCATTGCTAATGTTGCCAGTAGGAGGCCACATCAAATAATTGACCTGGAAATGAAATTAAAAGTGATTAAGGACTACAAAGGTGGAAAATCTGACGGTTTTTGCTTGCCAATCTAGTATGTCCCATTCCACCATAGCTGCCATCTTGAAGAATAAGAAAAAAATGATAGAAGCTGTTAAAGAATCTGCTTCCTTGAAGGCAACGAAACTAGCAAAAATTTGGGAAAGGCCTATATCAGACATGGAGAAACTTCTTGATTGAAGACCATACAGAAGTATACCCTTCTCAGCACCATGACAGTCATGGCCAAAGCAAAAAGTTTGTGTTGTTGAAAGAAAAGGCTGAACCTGACTACAGTATTGAATTTACTGCTAGCTCTGGGTGGTTTATGATTCAAGAATCGTTACTTATTACATACCGTGAAAGTGAGTCAAGTGCTGATGTGAAGGCAGCTGAAGAATATTCAGAAACTCTGTAGATAAGATGATTGTGGAGGAAAATTACTTGCCAGAGCAAACATTCAGTATGTATGAAACCTCCCTGTTCTGGAAAGGGGTGCCTGAAAGGACTTTTATCCATAAGGAGGCCAGGCCAATATCTGATTTCATAGCTCTTAAGGAGAAGATAACTAACGGTCTTGGGAGCAAGGTACAGGCTACAAATTAAAACTCCTTGTGATATGGCATAGTGAGAACCCCAGGGCCTTCAAGAATATCAGTAAGTACATACCACCAGTGTACTGCAGGAGCAATAAGAAGTCACAGATGACCCAGCTCCTCTTTCAAGAATCCCTCCTGAATTGCTATGCCAGCAAAATGGAAAAGTAGAGTTACAGAATAAGATACCTTTCAAGATTTTGCTTATTGTTGTAATGCTCCCAGTCATCCTCTTTTTATTGGTGATCTTTATCCCAATATTAGAGTGGTGTTTCTCCTTTCAAAGATCACCTCTTTGATGCAACCCATAGATCAAGCAATTATAGCAGCTTTTAAGGCCTACTATCTGCAGAGGACCTTTGCCCAGGCTATCGCTACAACTGAAGGAAACACCGATGCAATTCTGGAAGAATTACAAGATCATCGTCTGCATTAAGAACCTTGCATGGGCTTTTGATGATGTCACCAAGGAATGT